GCTCCTTGCCTAGTGGGCGCTAAGGAGCATTTGGGCGTGGGGGCAGTACATGGTTCCCTGCTCCCCCAGGCAGGGTCCGGACAGGGATTTACGCCCCACGTTGTGCCCCCCCTTCCTTCTCCATGTGCAGTGCCCCATTGTATGGGGCGCCTGGTCCCCAAGCGTTTGGGGGGGTCTCCAGGAGATCAAACTGCCTGGGGCTTCAAACTCTCATGCCATCGTCCTGTGGCAGAAACCCCCCAGCTGGCTGAAGGGGGCAGGTGCCCCCATGGGTGTTGGTGAGGATGGTTCCGGGGGCAGCCTGGCCCCCAGCTGATTTGCATTTAGTGACTCTTTAGTGGTTATTTTCCCTCTGGGGGGGAACGGTTGTCAGTTGATATCCCGGATGCCCAGAACTGGGCGTTGACTTGTCCACCTGCCTCGTCCCCATCCCGACAAAGATCCCGTGTGTTCGCCTCCCGGGGGCGGTTTGAACACAAGGTTAAGGGGGGGGGGTGTTTAAATCCAGCCCCGCAGCTGGCACTCGCTGGTGTCTGTGCTGCGCTGTGTCCCTCCCCTAGGGGGTTGGAATGGAAGGATGAGATCCGGCTGGGGAACAGGCGCCACTCCCGTCCCCAGGGATTTCAAATCCCTCCCTTGGCGCTAAGGCGAGGGGAACAGTTAAGAGCAAGTTTTTCTCGCCCCCTCCCCTCCCCTCTGGGCTCGGAAAATGAGGCCTGGACACTCCAGAAAAATACAGCCCGAGAGGCTGCATCAGGCAGGGCCTAAGCCAGGAACTTTGCCAAGGGAGCAGAGCTCGGCTGCCCGTTCCGGCCCCTGGCTGAACGTCTCGCCTTCCTGAACAGCGGTTCTGCTTTGCACACAGCTTCTCCGGTGTGGGGGGGAAGATTGGCCCGAGCCAGCCGCGTCCTGCCCCGGTCCCTTCGCTGACTGTTCTGGGAGCTCCGGCTAGGACGTGGCTCCTGGCTGCTGGTCTTGGGTTTGAGCTGGGACCCACCCCCCACCCCCCCAGCGGAGCTAGGCTCATCACTGCGTGTCTTCCCCCCGCCCCCCACGAGGGACTGGTCCTGCCTTGCCTGCTCGGTTGGATCTGGGGTTCATGGGTTGGACACGAGGTCGTTTATCTCTTGCTCTTTCGTTCCCTGCACAGGTCTGGCAGAGATGCTGCTGCTCCGACCCATCGTGAGAGGATGCTGGGTCCTCCAGAGAACGCCCAGGTATGAGAGGCTCTGCAGAAACCACTGGAGCTCCCCTGCTGGTCCAGCCCTGGGCCACCCAACACCACTTCGCTGGTGAACCTCAACCCTGCCCTGCAGCCCCCTGATAGCCCAGCCCCCTGCTCCCCCAGCCCTGCGCTTCCCCCCCCAGCTCTGCCGGTGCCCCTCACTCCCGACCCGCAGCCTCTGCTAGCCCAGCCCTGGGCTCCCCCTCACTCCCGACCCGCAGCCCCTGGGATCGCAAAGGGAAAAGGCGGGGAGGGAGCTAGCGTGAATTTCCTTTGGGATTCTCTTTAGGGCAGCTGCCACTTTGACACCTTGCCAGGGTTTTGCAGAATCCCCCAGCGGCTCTAATCTAATCTCTGCCCCTTGCAGACGCTCTCCGCCTCAGCCCCTGGCCGCCCCAGCCAGAGAGCAGGCGAGTTTTATCTGGCAGGGGAGATCCCTTTATGGCTCATGGCTGGCGTTATCTTATCAGACCTGTGATAGGGGAACACTGGGTTAATGTTCCACCGGCTGCTGGCCTGGGAAGGAGTCCACAGGCCGGGAACCGTTCACATGCCAGAGGGATCCCGGGGCTGGAGGCTGAAATGCAGCCACCTCTGGGGTGGCAGGCAGCAGCTGTTTAACAGCCACGGTCGCCTAGCAAAGGAAGTGAACAGGACTCCCGGGTCGGGCTGAAATTACAGGTATTATTTTAGGGAGGCAGAATGTAATTAGCTGGGTTGGAAGTGGGCCAGGAATGCGGGGGAGGGGCAGAGTGCCCCTTGCTGAGCCCCACCCTGCAGCACAGCGCCCCCTAGTGCCGCAGTGGGGTCAGCCCTGTGCAGAGAGCGCCCCTGCTGCACAGCCGGTAGATGGCAGGCGAGCAGGACGTGCTGGGCTGGTGCCCTGGGTGTCCCGTAGATGGCAGGGAGGTTGCTGGGGGATTTTTGCCCTCACTGGAGTCCTGGTTTCTCCCCCAGGTTGGCAGCTGTGGCCTGGGGGTCCCACCCCCAAGCCTGCGCTGCCTGGACCCCCTCCCGCGCTCATGGCACCTGGAGCCCGGGCGACGGCAGCCGGAGACGGAAGGTCATGGCCGTGGGGGCTCTGCTGGGCCTGGGCGCCGGCCTGGCCTACGGAGATCACCGCAGGCGGGTGAGGGAGCTGGGACCAGCATCCCCGGAGCCTCCCTGGAGGGGGAGGGGCCTGTGCTGTGGGGGGAGGCGTAGAAGCAGTGGGTGGGGAGGCAGAGGGGGCTGGTGCTCTGCTCTCTGCCTCAGGGCACAAAGGTGGCATGAGAGCTGGATGGGCAACTTGGGGAAGGAGGCATGGTCTAGTGGTTAGAGCGGGGGGGGCTGGGAACCAGGACTCCTGGGTTCTCTCCCCAGCTCTGGAAGGGAGTGGGATCTAGTGGTTAGAGCGGGGGGGGGGGGGCTGGGAACCAGGACTCCTGGGTTCTCTCCCCAGCTCTGGGAGGGGAGTGGGGTCTAGTGGTCAGAGCAGGGAGGGGGCCAGGAGCCAGGATTCCTGGTTTCGCTCCCAGTTCTGCCCCTGAAGTGCTGCGTAGCCTGGGGTGCATCCCTTCCCCCCGAGGTGGGTGAGGCCCTCGGAGGCCTGCGGTGGATGTTGGCGGATGCACACTCGAGCCCTTCTCCTTGTCCCTGCAGGCGGCGGAGGCCGAGCCGAACGCTGAGGCCGCGCCGGGGGCGCCGTACCCCGTGTTCACCCGCCAGGAGGTGGGGCGGCACCGCAGCCTGGCCGAGCGGGTCTGGGTGACCTACGGCCGCGAGGTCTTCGACATCACCGACTTCGTGGAGCTGCACCCGGGGGGCAAGAGCAAGATCCTGCTGGCGGCAGGGGGCGCCCTGGAGCCCTTCTGGGCCATGTACGCCGTGCACAGCCAGGCACACGTCCTGGAGATCCTGCAGGCCTACAAGGTGGGGGAGCTGAGCCCCGAGGAGCAGAGTCAGGCCACCCAGGGGGACCCCTACTCCGGGGACCCCCCTCGGCACCCCGCCCTCCAAGTCAACAGCCTCAAGCCCTTCAACGCGGAGCCGCCGGCCGAGCTGCTGACCGAGAACTACCTGACGCCCAACCAGCTCTTCTTCAAACGCAACCACCTCCCGGTGCCGGCCGTGGACGCCGCCAGCTACCGGCTGCAGGTGGAGGGGCCGGGGGGCCGCGTGCTGGCGCTCTCGCTGCCCGAGCTCAAGCGCCGCTTCCCCAAGCACGAGGTGACGGTCACCCTGCAGTGCGCCGGGAACCGCCGCTCGGAGATGAGCCGCGTCCGGCAGGTGAAGGGGCTGGAGTGGGGGGTGGCGGCCATCAGCACGGCCCGCTGGGGCGGTGTCCGGCTCCGGGATGTCCTGGCGCACGCCGGCTATGGGGAGGAGGAGGAGGAGGCCGGGGAGCAGCACGTCTGCTTCGAGGGCCTGGATAAGGACCTGAGCGGGGCGGCCTACGGAGCCTCCATCCCGTACCGCACGGCCATGGGCCCCGGGGCCGACGTGCTGCTGGCCTACGAGATGAACGGCGAGGAGCTGCCGCGGGACCACGGCTACCCGCTGCGGGTGGTGGTGCCGGGCGTGGTGGGCGCCCGCAACGTCAAGTGGCTGGGCCGGGTCTCCGTGAGCCCGGAGGAGAGCCCGAGCCACTGGCAGCGGAACGACTACAAGGGCTTCTCGCCCGCCGTGGACTGGGACACGGTGGATTTCACCACGGCCCCCGCCATCCAGGAGCTGCCCATCCAGTCGGCCATCACGGACCCCGCGCCGGGGGCCACCGTCCCGCCCGGGGAGCTGACGGTCAAGGGCTACGCCTGGAGCGGGGGCGGGCGCGGCGTGGTGCGCGTGGACGTCTCGCTGGACGGCGGCCGGACGTGGCACGTGGCCGAGCTGACAGGCGAGGAGCAGCGGCCGGGCCGGGCCTGGGCCTGGCGCCTGTGGCGGCTCACGGCCCCCGTTCCCCCCGATGCCACAGAGCTGGATATTGTCTGCAAGGCCGTGGACGCCAGCTACAACGTGCAGCCCGACACGGTGGAGCCCATCTGGAACCTGCGGGGGGTGCTGAGCAACGCCTGGCACCGCGTCCGCGTCACCGGGGCCGAGGATTAACGGGGGGGGGGGGGTAGGTCCCGGCCGCTCACTGGGTGCCAATGGCCTGCGGCAGCACAGAGGAGAGTGGGGGCAGGGGAGACATGCAGCCCCCCCCTCCCCGGATGGATGAAGATGGAGGCTGAGTTGGGGAGGGAGTCCCTGAAACGGATCCACCCAGCCCCAGGGGGAGCTTGGAGAGGCCGGTTCAGGGACAGCCCACCCGCCCCTCCAGGGCTCCCTTCCTGTGGGCCTGGCCTGGCAACGATCCTCTCTCTGGAGGGGTCTGATGAGCAGCGACCCTCAGGGAGGAGGCAGGGGGGACAGACGGGCTGGCCCCAGGGTGGGGCCCTTGGTGAGATGAATTTGGTGAGTCTCAGCCTAGTTCCCCCCAGGACGGGGGAGGGGGGCCTTAGCACTGAAATACCATTCCAGCTGGCCCTAAGCGGCCCTGTGCTGGCGGCCCCGGCCTGGACCGGGCTGCGGGGCTGGAGCTTATCCCTGGAGGCAGGTCCCCCCCCGGCCCGGGCTGGGGCAGGCTGGCACGGGCAGGGAGAGGAAGCTGTTCCTGGCCTGGGGCCAGGACGGCAGCGCCCAGTTCTCCCGCTGGTGCTGTTATTCCTGCCCGTGTCGCCCCCATTAACCCAGTGTAAAATCCACCCCCCCCTTCTGGCAGCCGTCCCCTTCTCCCCACCGGCCCTTAGTGCACGTGCCGGCCTGTGCCCTCCGCCTGCCTTTAGCACGACGTGCCTTCTGGTTCAGAGCCCGTTCATCCTCTGCTCCCCGGCGCTGCCCCAGCCCTCGCCTCCCTCCTGCTGCGGAGCTGGCCTCTTCGCCGACCGATCCGCTGCGTCTCGGCTCTGGGCTCCCCCCGCGGCGTGGGGCAAACACCTCGGCTCTTCCTGTCCCATCCCCGGTGATGTTCCGGGCCGTGCCAAAGTCCGATTGCTTTACGGCCGTGGGGAAGTGTCAGACGCAGGCGGCTGTAAAGATTGTGCTGCGTTTATGGACTCGTCTCGTTCATCTACAGGGCAGCTGGCTGCCCACTGAGGCTTCGCGGGGTTAACCGTTGCCTGGGGTGGAAGTCAGGGGTCCCTGTTCTGCGGTCTCCTCGCAGCAGGAGCTAAGCACGAGTCTGACGAGCTCATGTCCCGGGCAGGGGAATGATCTGATTTCTAAACGGATCAAACCACCACAGCCATGCTGCCTAGCCTGGCTCTGCTGGTGCCATCTGCCTCGGGGGCTGGGATCGAGAGGCGGGGGAGGGGACTTTCCTCTGATTCCCCCCACTAGGAAAATGCTACATAAATGTCCCCTGTGCTGTGGTCAGTGGCTTTCTCGGCTAGTCAGTCTGCTGAAATGTTAAAAGCCATAAGCTGTACACTGGCCGGGGATTCTCCACCAGGATGTGCGGCTTCCCCAGAGTTAAACTTTTCCCCCAGGAAAATTTCAGGTTTTTTTCCCCTGACGTTTTTCAATTTTCTGTTGAGAAAATTTTTAAATAAAATCTTTTGTCTGAGGCCGACCTGACTCTGACCTGTCTGGTTTGTCGAGCTCTACGCCAATGGTTCGTTGCAAGTTAGTTCAGCATTAATCTGCACCCAGGTGAGCACTACCTCCTGCTTGTTGTGATTTTGGTGCCTCGTCCCCTATTCTCTATGGCCCAGCTGCCTCAGAACTACTAACCGGGGTATGTGACCCATTGCTGAAATCAGCCTCTGGACCAGATGCTCGGAGGGTAGCTAATGTGATGCTGATTTTTAAAAAAGGCTCAAGCGGCGATCCTGGCAATTACAGGCCGGTAAGTCTAACATCAGTACCAGGCAAATTGGTTGAAACTATAGTAAAGAACAGAATTATCAGACATAGATGAACATGATATGTTGGGGAAGAGTCAACATGGTTTATGTAAACGGAAATCATGCCTCACCAATCTACTAGAATTCTTTGAGGGGGTCAACAAATTTGTTGATCCAGTGTACTTGGGCTTTCAGAAAGCCCTTGCCAAGGTCCCTCACCAAAGGGTCTTAAGCAAAGTGAGGAGTGATGGGATAAGAGGGAAGGTGCTCTCACAAGTCAGTAACAGGTTAAACAATGAAACAAAGGGTAGGACTAAATGGTCAGTTTTGACAGGGGGGAGAGGTAAATAGCAGGGTCCCGAAGGATCTGTAGTGGGACCAGCGCCGTTCAACATCTTCATAGAATTATCTGGAAAAAAACGTAAACATGAGGTGGCAAAGTTTGCAGCTGATACACAATGACTCAAGATCGTTAAGTCCAAAGCTGGCAGCGAAGAGTTACAAAGGGATCTCACAAAACTCTGAGGCACTGGCTGGGGAAGAAAATGGCAGATGAAATTCAGTGATGATAAATGCAAAGCAATGCACATTGGAAAACATCATCCCAACGCTACATATCAAATGATGGGGTCTGAATGAACTGTTACCACTCAAGAAGGAGATCTTGGCGCCATTGTGGATAGTTCTCTGAAAACATCCACTCAGTGTGCAGCGGCCGTCAAAAAAGCAAACACAACATTAGCACAGGGGATAGATAATACAGAAAATATAATGCCACCATATAAATCCAGCGTAGGTCCACACCTTGAACACTGCGTGCGGTTCCGATGGCCCCATCTCAAAAAAAAGGATATGTTAGAAAAGGTACAGAGAAGGGCAACAAAACTGATTAGGGGGATGGAACAGCTTCCAGCTGAGGAGAGATTCAAAAGACTGGGCCTGTTCTGTTTAGAAAAGAAATGACTGTGGAGGGAGATGATAGAGGTCTATAAAATGACTGGTGTGGAGAAAGGGAATAAGGAAGTGTTATTTGCCCCTTCGCATTGCACAAGAACCAGAGTCACTCAATAAAAGTAATAGGCAGCAGTTTTAAAAACAAACATAAGGAAGTATTTCTTCACACAACACACAGTCAGCCTGTGGAACTCCTTGCCAGGGGATGTGGTGAAGGCCAAAGTATAACTGGGTTAAAAAAAGAACTAGATCAGTTCATGGAGGATGGGTCCATCAATGGCTATTAGCCAAGATGCTCAAGGATGCAACCCTGGGCTCTGGGTGGCCCTAGCCCCTGACTGCCAGAAGCTGGGCCTGAATGAGTGGGGATGGATCACTCACTAAGTGCCCTGTTCTGTTCATTCCCTGTGTCACCTGGCACTGGCCTCAGTTGGAAGACAGGAGACTGGGCTAGATGGACCATTGGTCTGACATAGGATGGCCGTTCTTATATACACCTCCAAAGATGCACCATGGTGCATCATGGGAGGTGTAGTCCATCTGGGGAGCTTGTCCCATAGAGGAGAATGGGGCACAAGGCACGCAGACTACCCCTCCCTTGAGGCACTGCAGTAGCTGGGGTGGGACATGGCTCAGTGGCAAAACGCGATGGCTTAACGTTTCCAGATTGAGATGTTTCAGAACTTTCCGTTCCATGATTTTTTTTTTTATTTCAACTTTTTGGTCCGATTCGGGATGCAAACAACTGTCAAAATCTCAGAATTTCCATGGGCTCAGGTCTAATCAAAGCAGAAAGCGGGGATCCCCCCCCGCCCATCCCCAGAACTGGCTCATCAGCTCTTGGTGCCACTTGTCTCTCCAGTGCCCTGGCTCCTGGCTCTCTTGCCCTGGCATGAGACTGCAATGTCGGAAAGCAGCCGTCTTTAAACCCGGCTCCCTGGGAGATCGGACTCGGACGCTGGGCCCCTCCGCTTTCACCGCTTTCCACCTAGGTGCAGGTTTCACAGCCAACTTTGCCAGGTGCAGGCCTGGCCAGCAACAAGCCAGAAGGCTCCCAGCTCCCTCTGTGCCTGGCCTTTCTCTTCCCCTCTCCCTCTAGCCTCCTCCCAGCCTTTCCAGCCCTGGCTAACACAGGCAGACGCAGGGCTAACCAGCCAGCTCCAGTCCATTCCCCTAGGTTGGGGCTGATCAAGTGTTTCTCACTCAGCCCCATCACAGCCCCACTGGGCACAGCCCCGCCTGGCACCGGCGCCTGCCACAGCTTGCTCCCTGCGAAGGTGTAAGGGCTTGTGAGTTTGGGGCTGGGAGTGGGTGGGGGGTTGAGACCCCCGGGGCTCTCTGCAGTGGGGTGCAGGAACGCCACCTCGGGGATTACAGGCTGGTTGTCCCGTAGCAGGAGAGCTGCAGGTGGTTTGGGCGGGGGGCTCCTTCCCCCCGGAATAGCTGAAGGAAGCTGCTGGTGCAGGAGAAGTTTAGGCTCTTTCCCCTCCTCCCTGGAACCCCGGGCACCCGGGCAGCCAGTCGCCCAGCGTCTGTCGCTAACTCACTGCTAATCTCTGACCTGGCCTGAGCCGTGTTGGGCACGTTTCTCTGGGCGGGTGGAACTGGCTGCGTCCAGCCCTGCGGGCCTGGCTGTTACGTATTCAGCAGCCGGAGCACGTGCATTTTAATAAACCTCCCTGGCTAGTGGGCTGAAGCCGCGGAGGGTCCGTGGAGCATCAGCTTGTGCACCTTGTAGGATCCCCATCAATGTCGGACCCCGGGGCAGGACGGAGCTGGCACCTGTGCAGGCAGGGAAGGTCGAACAGAGCCCTGCCTGCTCTCTCACTCCCAGTGCAGGGAGCCGGGGTGGCTGTTCCGATTCCGGATTTCACACGTTTCCGTGGCCAGGAAGGCTAGTGGGCAGCTGGTGCAGAGTGGTTCCAGGGCCCCGAGCCCCAGTGGAGGTGGGGTGGGAATACACAGCGCTGGCTCGGCCCCCACGGGACAATAGGGGCGCCATCGAGGCAGCTGTGTCGGGCCTGTGATGGGAAGAGACGGGCCCGCGTTGGCACGTAGCGGCCCTGCGGGAGGGCTGCAGACACGGGGCCGCTAGCAGACCGGTTGTGTCGAAAGGCAGGAGCGGTTGGTAGGCACCAGCCCCCAGTGCTACGGGACCCAGTGATACTGCACCCTGGAGTGGGTGCTTCTGGGGGCTGCCGAGAAGCTCTGTCCACCCCACCCCCTTTGGCTAAGCCACCAAACCAGCCCCGAGCCAGGCGGGGAGGAGCCCGCCAG